TAAAGAATGGGTAAGTGGACACCATTAATGCACTGCATACATTATGCAAGTGGTAACAGCTGTCATATAATTTGAACTTTTAATGTTGTGTGTGTGTGGTATATTTGTTTATTGGAGTGGATTACATGTGATTCCTGGAAAGCCATAATGGGGGAAACACATGAACACATAGGATGCATCCTTGTTCTTAAATAAAACTCACAGTGCCAGTTCTAATTAATAAAAAGAATGCTTTGATGAAGAAGAGAGCCACATACATGTACATGTACATGTACAATACATGCATGACACTTAGCACATGTACATGTACATGTACACTCAGCGATATTTGTTGTTGCATTTACAATCAAAACATTAGCTAAAAAAAGGTACATCAATCCACATGCATTCTTTGCTAAGAAAATATCACATCGTTGATGTATTACTCTTTCTGCTGTGTGTGTACAATGTACTGTATGTCTGTTTGTTGACACTAGGCCAGTAATGGAGGATATTGATGTGGATAATGCTGTCTCTGAGGACAAGGCCAGAGAATATTTCATTGATCTAATTTTAGGACTGGAATACTGTAAGTGGATTAGTTTTTATGTATATTTAATAATTATTGACTGTACAAATGTGTATATGTAATTATATGATCATACATGTACATGTACATGTACATGTATTTACCATACCTAATTCCAGTGTATTTTTCAACTGTAATATATCATCGCACTCACTTTGTATTATTATTATTATTATTTTTTTTTTTTTACTTTTAAATTTCATAGTACATTCCTGTAAGGTGGTCCATAGAGACATTAAGCCTGAGAATCTGTTACTTGATGACTACGACAGAATAAAGGTGAGAGGGATAAATAAATAAAATAAAATAATAAATAAATAAATAGAAATAAAGGGAGAGATTGGAAGATTGGAAGAGAGGGAGAGAGAGAGAGAGTGTGTGTGTGTGCGTTAGTGTTTACTTGATTTATTTCTTTCTCTTAGATTGCTGATTTTGGTGTCTCTGAGAACTGGTCGTCAGAGAAACAAGATGCAGACTTGCGTAGTTCAGCAGGTACCCCAGCCTTCACTGCTCCTGAGACACTGGATGGTAAGATATTTAATTACACGAGAATTGTATTTGTACTACATATGTATAACAAATTAGCAACAACACTTACATGTACATGTACATGTACAATTAATTTGTAATAGCAATTAATAATCATTAAGCTGTTATTTGTTTGTGTACATTAACTACCTTCCTTCCTCCCTCACCCTCCCCCCCTCTCTCTCTCTCTCTCTCTTTCTCTCTCTCCCTCTCTCTCCCTCTCTCTCTCTCTCTCTTTCCCTTTCTTCAGGTGTAAGGTCTGTGTTTGGTGGAAGGGCACTAGATGTTTGGGCTGCTGGCGTCACTCTATATTGTCTAGTGTATGGAAGAGTACGTTATCCACTAATCTTGTCTAACTGAAACTTATTGCATATGTAGTTATGTACATGTGTATTATTAGTAACTTTATGTTGAGCTATCATCTCTGACATGTAATTTCAATCTCTCTCTCTCTCTCTCTCTCTCTCTCAAAGGTTCCATTTGTTGGTAGATCAATCCCAGAATTACATGAAAAGATAATATCACAAGAGTAAGTCACTAACCTACACACAAATGATAATCATATCTCTTTTATTCATTTCTTAGGATAAAGTTTCCAGATGAGTAAGTTTATAATAGTATACATCATACACTATATCTTTACTCTCTCTCTCAGTATAACAGTATCAGAAGAACTAAAAGACTTATTAATAAGGTTACTGAATAAGGAACCATCTGGTCGTATCACCATACCGGAGATAAGGAAGCACAAGTGGTTTCTGAATACAACTAGATACATACCATCACCCAATGAGAACTGTGCCGGGAGTGACCTGGATCCTACTGAGGAAGACATTGCTGATGCTGTTCAAGAGTTTCAGACACCAATCCATATACTGGTCAGTGGCTAGTGAGGCTCCAGTGTATCATAGACTGCATGGTTTTATAGCATGGGGCTTCATTTTTTGATTGTGATAAAGTTTTGTTTTTTTTTTTTCATTTAGAAAGTTTATCTTTTTATACAATTTTTTGTGGAAGAGCCTGCCTTTTTTGCACCATTTTGAGGCTTTAACCATGAAATTTAGTATTTAAATTTAATAACCCAAAATTGTAATTCTTCATTGACTGTGTGTTGGTGCAGTGAAATATACACTGGACCAGTGCTGTCCATGTATTAGTATGGAGTAGTACATGTTACTGTGCATGGTAATAGACTAATAGTTCATGACTGCTGTATGTGAGCTCAATGTATTAGTAAGTGTCCAGTCATGTTTACTAACAGAATCACTAGTTAGTAAACATCTCTGCAAGTAGCAGCTTCTAGCAAAAACTGTTTTGACTTGATGCAGCATGCAAGCTTACCACTGGCATGCAGTGTGATTGTGTTTGGGAATAGGAATGATATTATTATATTATTAATGAACATTTGAAATTGTAAATAAAATGATATACATTGTAAGTGTGCATGTGGTACGTGGCTAAGTACATGTAATAAGTTAATTTTACTATTATTATTATCATTATTATTATTATTATTATTATATTATTATTGAAAACAAAACACAGAATAAGGAAAAGAAAACAAACAAAAACAAAGGCCTAGCAAATTACAGTCAAAACACGATCAACTAAGTTACTCTTATTCTTTTACTATTAGGTTATGATTAAGAAAATGGCTAAGAAGAAGTCACTCCGCAATCCATATGGGGTCAGCGACTCTCCATCAGTATCACCATGTGTATCTCCAAGGTATTGCATGTCTACATGTACATGTACATGTACATCGACTTTGTATATAATAATCATTTATTTTTGTATGGCAATTACTGTATAGCTCCAAAGTTTTGTTGGTCGAAAAAATTTTGTCAAATTCATCAAGAATTTTTGCTTGACGAAATTTATAATGATGGCTAAGATTTTATCAACGAAAATTAATTTTAACAAGAAATTAAGATTTTGATGAAATTTTTGACTGACGAAAATTAGGAGCTACATGTGTACATTAATTGTTAATGTTGTAATGGAAGACTGTAAGGCTTGGCTTCTGAGTTAAGTAATATCATTTAGCATTACTAACCGTTTAATTTGACGCATACCAATTCTATTAGATTAAACCACATGTGATATAGTATGAGGCTTCCTTAGTGCTCCACAGCATTACCAAAAATGTAACTAATTCTTCATTCTTAGAACTGTGTAATAGTAGAAGCAAGCTAAAACAGTCATTTCATTTTTGCAAACCGCTTAAAAACAACCTAGAGTATATATTCTTTTTATTTAATGGGTTATTCTTTTTTGTTAACTAAAACTTTCTGGACTAGAATGTTCCAGATTTGTCTGTTACTATAAATATCAGTGATTTTTGTAAATAGTTCAGTTCCTTTCTTGGTAAAATCATATATTCATAAATAACTTACTTCTGGTGAACACCGTCACCAACTGGTACAATGCACATATGGACTTTATTAATATTTGAGAAAGCCATATGTGTTTCATTATCAAATACTTTTATTTGTCTCCAGGCAGCACAGACGACCTCCTTCCTTTGAGAATGAAGGAAGATCGGACAGCATCAGTCAAGTGGAGAAGCAGAAGCTGTTTGCTGCCATGAAGACCATACCAACCATCTCTATATCCGGAGAAGATGACGAGTATACGCCACAGAATGAAACTTGATCCCATTATGCCAATAATACATGTAATATATATATATAATTATTATTATTATTATTATTGTAACTTTGTTTTTGTGATAGTTGTCTGTATACATCATACATTTTTTTGTATGAATTGTCAATTTTTGATTTTCTTCCTCCAATAACTGTCTTCTTTAAATGTATGCACACACACACACATTCTTAATGCAATAGATGTGTATCATATATACTATCTCTTCTGATGATATTTTTAAAGATGTTTTTACACGAAATAACAAATAGATGACAATTAATAATAATAATATCTCTGTATTTGAATTATTTTTTTGATCTTTTCTTTTTTCTCAGTGCCTGCCCGTTGCCTTGAAAAGGCACAAATCCTTCTTCAGTCTCTTCCTATAATTTATAATGATTAATAAAACTTTTTAACAAGTCAAATACAAATATGAGCTATTGCCATTGTGTGCCATTTTCATAGGCAAAAATGTACAAGAGTACAATTAGGTAAAATGCAAGCTTTAGCAAATTTCTTCACAAGTAGTCTTTAAGCAAAGATAACAAAAAATTACATTATGGTGACCAGTTCACAACTTGAAAATTTGAGTTTATACTGTACTAGCTGAGAAAGCTTGCGGGGGATTTTGTTTTTCAATTTTGTACTAATAGGGAAAAATTGTTGCATGTGGAATTTGATTTTGTTGGTCCAGGTGTGAAGATTTGACATGCCGATTACTTGCGGAATTAAATTGTGCACTTTTATCACAAACAGCAAAACTAAATTCCAGCAAAATTAATATTTCCTTATATCAGTAGTACACAATGGTGTGTGACATTCTAATAATATTTGTTGCATTTTCCAATTAATAATGGCGGCTACTACTAACCATTGCTTCCTCTGATGTCATCTTTAATGACTTTGCTCTAGCAAAGGTTATCCTTCCTTTGACATAGTTATAATTAGGAATACCTCTCTCTCTGTGTAATGAGTCCTCATGAACCAGTAACATTGAATCATAAAGTTGTACCTTTTTGATTGAGTGACTTGTTGTTTTTGTGGTAGCTGTGTCTGATTTGAGTCATTGGATTTCTTCACTTTACCATCTAATCTCTGACCCTGACCACTAAATGCCTGGTAAAAAAACAATCTACATGTACATGTATGTGTACATGTACATGTATGTGTACATGTACATGTCGGTGATACATTTAAATGTACTGAGCTCTCTTCTTTCTCTCTCTCCTTTCATCACAGCATTCTTATTGGCAGACATGTTATACTCTTTGCCAAACATTCAAGTCATAATTGCATTGTTTACATGTGTACATGTACATGTTTACATGTGTACATGTACAGTGATCTCATATTACGCAAATGTGTACCTTGAATTCCTTAGTAGGAAGTTCAGTAGTAGTAGCATCGTAAGTGGACTAGAACAAAAAGAGGATATGGAAGAAGAAGCAAGAATAGCATAGCAGAGAGAGAGAGGACATGACCAAATTGTACTAGTAATCATTTGTACTTGGGGATTCCCAGAAAATGGGACAAAGAATGCTAAGTGAGCTAAACAGCATGCTTTATGAGCTGACAAGCTTTTGGAGCAATTTTAAAAATTCATAAAAAAACTAATTTGATTCGAGTCAGCTCAACTTTCTGATGTATAAAAGCAAAGAACTCTCTCCTTTTAATTTTGGCAAAATTTGGCCTGTGATCATATACACTAGTATTACAGGGGCTTTGGCTCAATTTTCAAGTAGCTTAAAAAATTCGTTAAAAATCTCATTATAATCAGAATCAGTTCAAACTTTCTACACAGCATCATAAGTACATGTATATACATCAGAAAAAAAAATAAAAAGTGAAGAATTCTCTCCTTTTCAATTTTGGCAAAATTTTGCCAAGGGACTCTGTACTATAGTACAAGGACTTTGGGCTGGCTTTGGAGCAAGTTTAAAAATTTCTAAAAAATATTAATTTAACACAAAATTTCTACACAACATAAGAATCTTTCTACTTGGCAAAAATAAATTGTGCAAATTCAGGAAAAACATTGCTATACTGTACATGGTATATTATACTTGTTCATCATGATCAACAGTTTCCATTGGTTCAACTGGTTGAGGCTCTTTATAACCAACAGGAGCAGCAAAATCAACCTAGTAAAGTGAGCAACAGATAACAATAACAATAATAATAATAATAATAATAATAATAATAATAATAAATAGCATTGTCACTGCTACATCACTCATGCATGATTCACTTACTTTCATGTCACATTCAATGATCGAGACTGCATTATTTGGCTGAGTTTCAAGTACCAGTAGCTCATAATTCTATAAACAGGATGATTATTAGTATAATGACCAATAGTCAAGACCCTTTACTTTCTCATTGTAATTAATCTGAATGACGTCACCTTTCGTGAGACAAGCAAATAATCTAAGCTTTAGCTCTAAACTAAGAAAATGAGGTGCAGTCAAGAAAAAAATGACATTATTTATCATTATCAGCTTCATAATAAAGTTTTATTTTGCTACTTTCATGGGTATATAAAATTTCATGAAAATTTGATATTTCCAAGAGTAGAAAATAATAATTATTGTGAATGTTAACTCATGGAGCTATTTTGAATTCCACGGCCTTTTATGAGATTTTTTTTGATTTTATAAAGGCAAAATTTAGAAATTTTTGGCTGTTATTGTTATTAATTAAATGGATACACTGCCTTTGGGTTGGATATGTCAAGAAAGTCAACGGATTGTGGTTGAAATTTAGAGAATGTAGCCAGAGGAAGAGTAACGTTTTCAATCTTGAGTAAATGACCAGCCTCAGCCATTAAATGGCCTAACATCTAGAGGGAGGGAGAGAGAGAGAGAGAGGGAGAGAGAGAGAGAGAGAGGGAGAGAGAGAGGGAGAGAGAGAGAGAGAGAGAGAGAGAGAGAGGGAGAGAGAGAGAGAGAGAGAGGGAGAGAGAGAGAGAGAGAGAGGGAGAGAGAGATAAATGAAAAAGAAAAGAGAAGAAAATATACTATTGATATTTATTCATCAAATTAGGAGAATGTCTCACCCATTTTGGTACATACACTCTTCCTTCTTCAGCGCTAAACTCCAGCACCCCACAGTGGGTGTGGCGGTTAATCATATCGTTAGTCAAACGAAACAGCATCGGGTATGTAATATTAAGACGAGCTATAGCCAATAAATTAATAATATTATTAGTCTAGTTAATAAAATTAAAAAAATAACATCACTCACCAAGTCTCTCAAGAGCTGAAGGTGGTAAAATTACTAAAAGAAAATCACGTTTAGTATATTTTAAAACTTATATTTGAAAATAATTTCTTACTTTTTCCTCCATGATCAGCATCTACCTTTGCACTACTGAAGTACACCATTGAATAACATTTGAAATTATCACAGAATGTACCACGACCTCCTCCTAGAGCGAAAGGGAAACCCATGCCCTCTGGAGGGTAGCTAAAGAAAGACTGATGAGAAAAGAAGATACCAGTTTAAAAGACATAGATCTCTTACCATCATTCACTGTGGGAGGGGCTAAAATTATGAACCACGCCTTACTAAATCTATGCACGTGCACCAACATTGCTTACAAGATCAAAGTAACCACAAATCTTTAATCTTACAAGCAACATGTTGCCTAGTGTATGGGGGCCATTGTGAGTGATCTAGCTACCCAGAACAAGAAAATGGCAGAGGCTGAAATTTATCACTGTACATCAGACCTGCAACTTGAAGATGGTTTGAAACTGCTCAAAAAATTGCCCATCCAGGAGACCGACGTTGTTCTTGATCTGGGATGTGGCACAGGTCGTCTAACCAGTAATATTGCAAAGAGAGTAATCAATGGAAAAGTGATTGGTATTGATCCTGATGAAGAAAGAATAAAAATAGCAATGGCCGAGAGTACAGGAGACAGCACCAGTTTGCAGTTCATGATAGCATCAGATCAATCTTTCCCTGAAAACCAATATGATCATGTTGTATCTACTGATGTTATTCATTGGATTAAAGACAAAGAAGCAGCTTTTACTAGAGTGTACAATAATCTTAAACCGGGAGGAAAATTTGGTTTTACAACAGCTCATGGTAGCATCATAAATAGTCTCATGATGGAAATATTTCAGCTGTGTGAAGTTGCTGATAATATGATAGCTTTGGAACACTGTGAATTGGGCGACTATTACAAGGAGCTGGCTATTAAAACAGGTTTTGTTGTTGATTTCTTAGAAATAACAGAAAGGTCTAGTCAATATAAGAGCATAAATTCTTTTATTGATTTTTTTTATGCTGTGTATCAAGGTAAATTTGACAAGAATCATCCTGCCCTTGATGACCTAAAGAAGAAATATGAAGGAAAAGTTGTCAAACACGTTGGAAAACGTCTGACTGTAGTATTAACTAAACCAAATTAACTATGAGTGCATGTGGTACCACAAAGGAAAAAATAAATATCGGTATTCATTGCATTGATTAGATATTGTTAGTGGTTAATAAGAATACGCTTGTTTTCCATACATTTTAAAATTAGATACACATACAGTGGAACTTCTGATAACGTAACTTCTTTTTAACAAAAATCTAAACCTCTTCATAATGAAAAATTTTGAAAGTACCAACTTATTTTCCTACTTTTATAATGACAATACAGCCTCCCTTTAACAAAAACTTCACTGTTACGAAATAATGAAAGCTTTTTTCTGACCAAAATGCCGTAATTCCACAACATTTTCAAATAATTCATGATTTTACAAAGGCAAAATTTAGAAAAAAAAATTCACTGTTATTGTTACTAAATGGATACACTGCCTTTGGGTTGGATATGTCAAGAAAGTCAAAAGATTGTGGTTGAAATTTAGAGAATGTAGCCAGAGGAAGAGTAACGTTTTCAATCTTGAGTAAATGACCAGCCGGCCTCAGCCATTAAATGACCTAACATCTAGAAAAATAGAGAGAGAGAAAGGATAAAGAATAGGAAAATACATTACTGATATTTATTTTTTCAAATCATAAGGATGTCTCACCCATCTTGGTACATACACTCTTCCTTCTTCAGTGCTAAACTCTAACACTTCACAGTGGGTATTGTTAGTCAAACAAAACAGCATTTGGTACGTATATGTAATATTAAGATGAACTACATATAGACCATAAATTAGTAAATAAATCAAAAAAGATCCAAAGGTAGCAGAATTACTAAAAGAAATTTCATTTTTATTTTTTAAAAATATTTCATACTTTTCCTTTATTTATCATCAGCATCTTCCTTTGCACTGCTGAAGTACACCATTGAATAACATTTGAAATTATCACAGAATGTACCACGACCTCCTCCTAGAGCGAAAGGGAAACCCATGCCCTCTGGAGGGTAGCTAAAGAAAGACTGATGAGAAAAGAAGATACCAATTTAAAAGACAGTGATCTCTTACCCACATTCACTGTGGGAGGGGCTTACATTATGAACCACTCGCCTAGATACATCTACTAGTCTATGGGAGGAGCTAGCCACACCCAATTAAAATTAAATTAAATTAACTAACATTAATAAGTTAAGTGACATCGTGAAGTCTGGGGTTGAGCGGGAGCAGTGTGATTTCTGTAAGAAGAGTAATTTAAGAAGGAGCCATTTTTTAAACCCACCTTTTATACAAAGATGGATTTTAAAGAAATAGGGCACATATCTAGAGGAACTCTGGTAAGAGCTGCTATTATAAAGTGTTCCTAATTAATGCCCACCTCCAGGAGCTAGGAAAGATGAGGATTCAATCCGATGGGCTAATCTTTAAATCGTCAGAAAAGACACTAAATGTTAAACACAGTGAAATTGATCTGGCGGAGTGGCTAAGGGTTGCCCGTGGCTACGAATTGAAGGTTCTGTCTCGGGAAGGTCACGTTTTTAAATTTAGCGGATTCAAAGAATCTGTGAGTATTAATGATTGGGGCGGGGCTACATGTAGTGAGTCAAGTATGGTGGTTCTTGTTGGTATTAGGACTACGGAGATTTGAGGGATTTCTTTAAGCAGAATTTTGGGAAGGATTTAAAGCAGGTGGAACTGTGTGTAAAGGGGTGGAACTGGGGAGAACCTGTTTTTAAAGGTATTTTTATTCATCATATTCTTATTATTACTAGTAATTTGCAAAATATTTATGTACATGTACCTGTATCACCTCTCTCTCTCTCACTCTCTCTCTCTCTCTCTCTCCCTCTCTCTCTCTCTCTCTCTCTCTCCCTTTCTCCAGGTTCTCTTCTTACATTTCTTGTTGATAGCAAACCTGCCTTTGAGGTACCACTAGAGGAAGTATCACGTGTCACAGCCGGAAAGAATGAAGTCTCACTGGAGTTCCATCAGAACGACACTGCAGCTGTGAGCTTAATGGAGATGAGGTTTCATGTACCAACAACCGGCACTGATGGAGAAGAAGACCCTGTACAGGTAAGTGTGTGTGAGAGAGAGAGAGGGGGGAGGGAGGAAACAGACAGACAGACAGACAGAAAGAGAGACAGAGAGAAGGATAACAAGATAGATATGGAGAATAAATTGAGGAGACAGATGCAAAAAAGTGTGCATGTACAAGTACATTTTTATGCATGTACATAATTATAATATTTAATTACATTTTTCAGAGTTTTCATGATAAAGTACAGGCTAAAGCTGATATCTTACAAGCCACTGGTAATGCGATTGCTTCATTCACAGAAATGCACTGTCTCACCCCAAGGTACATTTTTCATTGCACATGTACATGTACGTGTACGTGTATGTATTATAAAAATGTGCATGTAATCATAATAGTACCATTATGATCATTGCCCTCAATATAATTATGTGTAAAAGTAGCCTCATTTCAGAGGTACATGTACTTTTGTTTAAATTTAAGTTTAACTATTATACTTGTATGGGAGAGCATGTTCTTATTTTAAAGCTGTCACTACTTTGTAATATCTTAATGTTTTTATGCATGTAGAATTGTAGATAAAAAAATTTTTACTCTATTATAAATGTATATACATGTATACATACACAACATGTATGTACAGTATATATTTAGTGATGTAATATTTAATATTATTTTTATTATTTTCCAACAGAGGAAGGTACACCATTAAAGTATACCCCACCTTTCTTGGTGCCCATGGGAAGACGTTTGATTATAAAATCCCTTTCTCTTCCATCACTCGACTCTTTATGTTGCCACATAATGATGGACGACATTTATTCCTAGTGGTAAGCACAAGCTTTATAATAATAATGATAATAATAATAATAATAATAATAATAATAATAATAATAATAATAATAATAATTTTTAATAATAATAATAATATTGATACTTGCTTAACAATGGTACATGTATAACGATTAACAGTAGTGAATTTTAATGAGAAAGTTCCTTTAAAAACAAATCATTTAATACCTGTTTGTGTACATGTATAGTATATGCATTCAATGAGCTGAACAAATTACTCTAGCTCTAGCTCTCTTTCCTTTATATTATTGTAACATTATTTTCTTTCTCCTAGCTGGGTTTAGATCCACCTATTAGACAGGGACAGACCAGATATCCGTTCTTCATTCTACAGCTTGAGAACGATGAGACTTGCGAACTAACACTAGCCATGTCAGAGTGAGTGCTTATAGTACAATGTACCATAATACATCTAGCTGGAAAGTTTTGTGGCCAAAAACTTTTTGCTTTTTGTGGTTTGGAATGACTCCATGAAATTCAAAATTGCAAAATATTTGCAGGTTAATGAAAGGCATCAATTGGAGCTTCACTGATGGTCCTCGGAAAATCAAAATTAGGAATAGACTGGGAGCCATCAAAGCACGAAAGTTTTTTGCCACATTCCTCAGTTAGCTGCAGTTAGCACAAAAACAGTACAAAGGCACACTTTTATTATTATAAACTATACTGCAAGGAAATAAGAGTCTGAATTAAAATGAATTAAGAGTCTTTTTTGATGAGGAATACCCTAGCTGTGCCCGTGTTTTTTTGCCAACTTTTTTAGAGCAAATTTATAATTTTTATTTCAATTTTTGATCATCAATGTTAGAGAGGACTTGAAGGAGAAGTATGGGGGGAAACTGACTCAGGAGATGGAGGGTCCTTTAATGGAAGTGTTTGCTCGTTTGATGAAAGTGCTCGTTGGAAAGAAGCTAATGGTTCCGGGCAGTTTTAAAAAGTAACGATTTATCTTATAGACACTTTCATTTTAAAATTATTTACGTAATTTTCTCCTCTTTTCCTCCCTCTTTCTCTCTCTCTCTCTCTCTCTCTCCCTCTCCCCCCCTCTCTCTCTCAGTAACAACGGTCAGAATGCTGTAGCCTGTTCTTGCAAGGCAACAGCTGGCTTTTTATACCCTCTTGAAAAGGGATTCATGTTCGTTCACAAACCCGCCCTTTTTATCAAATTTGAAGATATTGCTAACGTCAACTTTGCTAGGATGGCCTCTGGTGGGGTATCGAGATCTTTTGATTTCGATATAGAGACTAGGGAAGGGGTCGTTCACCATTTTAGCTCGTTAATGAGGTTGGTATACATGTACATGTATGTAGTGTTGAAACTATTATTGATTTCTGGGAGCTAATCCAAGTTATACTGTTGATAAAGGATTACATGTACATGTTTGCACTAGTGATGAAACGAATAGTATTTTTCACTATTCGAATAATTGGTATGATAAACGAACGAATATTCGAATATTTTAACTATTATTGCTGAATGGTTATAAACTACCTTTTTGGTGTTAATCTTATCAAAATAATCCCAAACAGGGCTTCTTAGAGATTGAGAACCACTTCCATGGCTATAGCATCAATATTTAGCAAGTTGGTAACCAAGAAACTGACTAAGAAAGCCAAAGAAAGCTTGGAAGAAAGCACCTGTGCAGGTAGCATGCGGTGGGCGTGGCCATTAATTATTGCAATAACCATTAATAATTTATTCGAATAGCAAAAAAACTATTCGAATATTGCTATAAAAATTATAAATGAACGAATATTCGAATATCTCACTATTCGTTTCAACACTAGTTTGCACATGTACATGTTTGCACATGTTCATCTCATACATGTAACTGCATGGACTACTGTATGCATATAATTATGAAAAAGCATCAAATTAAAACTTGCCAATTGTTAGCTGCCAGTAATGTGAAGTACATGTACATGTATTATTTTAATAATACATGATTGTTACATTTTTTGCTATTTATTATTTTCGGTTCATATTTACAGGCGTATGTAGCTACTCTAAATTATGTCATTTTTTATTTCTAACCTGCAAAATTAATAAAATATTATTTTAACCTTGAAAATGGTTCATGATAATGCATGTGCATGTAAATGTGCATCACAACCTTATCATCTTTTTATCCAATTAGTGCCTTCCTTTACCATTTTATTCTAGAGATGATTACACAAGGCTGCATGAGTTTGTTACTGAGAAACGACTCAAGATTAAAGATAAAGGCTCCGTAAGAATAAATATTTATCAGAATAAATGTACATGTGTTTATGGCTATTCTTAGTTACTACTATAGCTTCAGGGTTTCCAGACATTTTGACAAATACCATTTTTTTTCAAAAATTGCTTGGGAGAGAATTTTCCATTTTTCTGATTTTTTCTAACATGTAATGTATGTACATGTATATGCACATACATGTACATGTTAATACATGTACATTTGAGCTGATTCCAATCAAAATTGGATTTCTTGTGAATTTTTAAAGTTACTCAAAAATTGAGCCAAAGTCCCTGTACTATAGTACAGGGTCTTTAGTCAAATTTTGTCAAAAATGACTAGGAGAGAATTCTCCACTTTTATAATTTTTTTCTGATGCATATACATGTTCTTATGTTGTGTAGCAAGTTTGAACTGATTCCGATCAAAATTAGATTTTTTATGAATTTTTAAAGTTACTCAAAAATTGAGCCAAGTAGTACAGGGTCATTGGCCAAATTTTGTTTAAAATGACTAGGAGAGAATTCTCCACTTTTATAACTTTTTCTGATGCATATACATGTTCTTATGTTGTGTAGCAAGTTTGAACTGATTCTGATTAAAATTAGATTTTTTATGAATTTTTAAAGTTACTCAAAAATTGAGCCAAAGTCCCTGTACTATTAGTAACGCGGTAGCGTTACTAAGTAGGATTCACCCCCAAACAAAATGGCTGCCACGACTTTTGCAGCCTTGCTATACCGGGAAAACGAGCTCCTATGCTTACCAGACTTTATAGAGGACCTTATCTTGACCAGAGGAATCCAATGGTACAACTAGCGTGGCTCTAGACCTTGTCTAAGCGAAAAGTCAAAAATCGGCGAACCGGCAGTTTTGTTCAGCCACCTTTTTTCATCTTCATCATCATCTTCATCAAGTCCTGTCAATCCAGTTGTCGGTGTGTATCTCAGTATCAGTTGGTGCTACAAGAATAATTCTTACACCAATCTACTCCAACAGTCTATGCGCAGGTCCATGTCCCATCAGATCATTCTTCAAGTAAGGAAAAAGTGATACTGTGACTGCTGGATCGAGCCATCTTAGCTACATGCCGCCATTTTGTTAATTAAAGAAGCTTGCCATGTGCTCCAAAATTTGGGTGTGGTCGCGCATGCTCAATTCTGCAGCTCTGGAAGAA